TAGCACATTTTCTTGAACTTGCTAGTTTTCCAAGATGTATGCGCTTTTCTGCAGTAAGTTTTTTTGGCCTTCCTGGGCGGGATTTGGGTTTCAGGGAAGCTGTTATTGAAAGTTTTTTGATATATTTGTATAAAGTAGATATAGGAATTTGCGTTATCTTATGGAGCTGAGATACATAACAAATTCCACTTTCCCACAAATTCTCTACAACTGATTGCCTTTGGGTCAAAGTAAGTTGCTTAGGCATTTTTAACGAAAAAAAATTATAAAAGTAAACAAAGAACGCGTTGTCAGTTCAAATATTATTTTTATTATAAATTTGTTATCCGGTGTAACTTTCGATATATATTTTTTCCATACAGTGAAACCTCTTTATACCGGTCAGCTCCGTCCACGGGGATTTTTGACCGGTACGACGAAAACCGGTATAAAGGTATAAAAGGCAAGTGATACAAGAGGTACATATAAGGATAATCCATTATGTAATAACAGGTTTTATTCAATCTTTGTCACAAAGCAATCTAAAACTTCTTGCCTAAGATTGTCCATTCTGCTTAACCCAATATTACGTCGTAAGCGCAGCAAGTTATCCACATCTTTTCGTGTGATGAATGAATTATCTGGCTGTTGTTCAATAAATTCGGTTATTGTTTTAAGAGCCACACTGTCATAGCTTCTTCAAGTTGAGGCCACTTTGGAGGTCGTTTTTTTTTAAATTGTGCTGATGAATCATTTTCTTTAATAGATAACCACTTATCTTTTTCACGAAGTATGTCACCAATCGTACTGCTTCCGCAAGCAAAGATTTCTGCAATTCGATTATGAGAACATTGAGGATTTCTTACTTTAAATTGACAAATTTTTTTTTTTTGCAAAGCAGTGAATGAAACTCTGGACTTTTTTGTATTCGTTTTATTTATTGATTGGAAAGAACGTTTTTTACGTGTCATGGTAGATGAAAGAAAGTAAAGGTGAAAAGAAGTTTATTTATTATGTTACATGATCGACCGGTATAAAAAGGAAAATTACAATATATTTTATAATAGTATGACGAAATTTGTCCAACAAATTTCGACCGGAGCCGTTATAGACAATTTAATTAATAATGACCGGTATATAAAGGGAAATTTTATATGTGAAAATCCGTTCCTGAAAATTTTGCCCGTTATAGAAAAAACCGGTATAACCAGGGGACGGTATAAAGAGGTTTCACTGTAATAAATAAACCAGGGAACGTGTAAATATTAAATAAAGTAATTACATAAAATTCTCATTATTTTCCGCCACTACTGTATGTTGTTGAACAAGGAGAGCCCTGGTTCTGTTTTGGAATGGAAGAAGAAAAAGACTGGAATAAACATCTCTAGTGAACTGGAGAGTTACAAATACCTGGATTTAACAACCCAACTAACACCTACAATGATGACAGATACATGTCAAGTCAGGCCCCCACTTCCAGATGTATTACCCCATACTCTGACTGCCCCATTAATCCACAAAACCCCACAGTCCATTCAATAGAAGAAGAATACCCACAGAATGAACCACTATCCAATCCATGGAAATACCCAGCTGATGAAATCCATCTGTTAGATGAAGAAAATCCATAGATGACTATTAATAAGGAAGAGGTGAAGAATGTCAAAGAAAAGAAAATGGGATGGTGAGAAAAAAAAGTCTGTGAGCAAAGGGTCAATGACTGCCACAACAAAAATGAAAGTATATAGGGAAAAGGAGGAGAGAAAGGGGGAGGGGAAAGAAATGGAAAAAATTGTGGAAAGAGGTGAGAAAGGAGTTAGATCTGGAAATAATGGCGAGGGAGTGAAGGGAGTTCTAAAGAGATGTATTATTTAGTGAATATGAGATGGATAAAAAAGATCTAACACAGCATCAGATCAAAACTGTGAAAAGAATATATTAATGTATAAGGAAGAGGATCTAGAGGACGGGATGAATATCAGAAAAATTGCTAGAGTAGGAAATTAGACCTTTCTAAATTAGCTAGAAAAGAATGGGTGAGTAAGATTTTAGGAGAGAGAAGCTGTTATGGCGAGCTGATCAGCTGATGTCGATAAGCAAGTCACATGGTAAAATCTTCCTCCGCAGTAATCAAACAAATCAATTAATTAGATGTTACTCAAAGCAAATGCGAGTAACGAAAATTTGGTGACAGTTTTGAACACAAAAATGTAGCTAAGAATAGAAAATAACGCGAGTAACGCGATTTTGGTGACGGCGTGGGAAAGATAAAAAATACGCGCTCTGTGGCATAAAAAAAGTAACACGATTCTAGTAAAAGCAAAATGTATATAAGGAGCCGTCCCGACCATCAAAATCCTCATGTTAGTGAAGTATTCGAATATAATAAACGATCGATCTGATCTTTATCCTTTAATTATTACGAAACTTTTTACTTTCATTACTTCTATTGTTGTGAAAACTAAGCTTTTTGGCTTACTATCGGCAGTAGATCGGTACCGTGGCTGTATTTAAACGGTAGTTGTCAGCGCAATAGATCGGTAACGACCCGTAGTTGCGGTAAAGCAAGAGTATCTCGATTGATAATTTAAATTCTTTGTTGTTATAATTAGATAAGTGACATCCCTTGACTAGTCAAAACACTAAATCGAAGTTCGCCCTGTTTTAAAATTAGTAAAAGAAAATTTCCCCTTCGATTCCGCAGTAGATAAATTGTGTAAATGGCACATACAGTACGTGCCTGGTCGAACATCTGTGTTACGCAAATCAGTTTGTATTGCTTGATTTTCAAAAATGCATTTCAGCTCAATCATTAGAAACCCTTTATTTAGAACCTGTCCATCAATTTCATTAGATGATATTGCATGTATCGGTACAGTAAACAAGCTTCCAACTTGCCGCTCCTGCAAAAAACCATCAACAAGACTGCGATTTCCTTCTCTGGCAGCAAATCCCGGGAGATACTCTTTGAGCGCCAGATTCTGTCAGTGAGTAGAACTGTAAGTGTTGACAGCAGTAAGAAAATTGCAAGGGAGACGGATTATTTGGACTTGGATTAATTGAACCTAAATCGCACTTATACTCTCAAAGAGTTTGAAATTATAAGCGATCAGCTCAAACATCGTTCTTTGGAAACGAAAGTTAATGGCGAGCTTGTTTCCATCAGTCACTTTGAACTTGATAAATCTGGAAAGTTAGTTCCCATCCCACCAACACCAATTTTCATGGGAGTCGCTGTTGCGGAAATTTGTACCCAAATTAATAATTGGAACGTTCGTACTGGTCAAAACAGTGTTGTAACTAGTTCGCAGGGAGGTTTTCTACTCGAAACGGAAGAGGTTCAAATACCAGATGTCGCTTTTACGCCAAAAGAAACTTACTGTTTGACAAGGTACCTCCTTTCAAGGCCACCATTTAGCCCTACGTTTGTCGTGGAGGTTGATAATATAGAGAATACAAATAGTACAAAATTCAAAAATCTGGATTCCAAATTTAAAGACTCTTATTTTGCGTCAAATACATCTGTTGAGCTTGGTTGGCTAATTGATCCTATTAACGATGAGATCTGGGTCTATAAGCGAAGCCCCACAAACGGCAATGTCTTTCGTCGTCACCGTCAGCATCAAAACATAGCCATATGTTGGTTAAGGAAATTATTAAATGTTCGCTACGAAAGAACCCACTACACGTGATTGGAGAGCCTTGGATGGAGGCGATACTTTGCCAGTTTTAAGCTGAAAGTATGGAGAATAGCAATTTTGCAAGTGAGTAGCTGTTCATTTTTATTGTTTTTATGCCATAGATTTACACATCTCTGCCATTTGTGTTCACAGACTTTTAGCGAAATTTATCACTTAGTCAAGCATTTGCAAAATAACCATGCACGTAAGAGACGGATTAGTAGAGATTAGGAGAACGGTGGAAAGGTATTAATTGGCAAAATATTGTTACTGTCGGCGTATTTAATTAGGGAGATTTGTGGAAGAGCAAACTGTAAGCGGTTC